AAGTTAAGAAAAGTGGACAAAACTCAATATTTATAGTGGTTCGGTTTACCTGACCTACATCCACTATCTTGATTTTTTCAATCAAGGATTTTCAACCCAATTTAACTAAAACTAGTGTAATTAACAACTTCCACCAAGCATTTACAAAGTAAGCTTTAACCTAAGCTCTAAACCCTAATAACATTCCCTTAGAGTGCCTCAAACACTCTAGCCAAACAAGAAATAAGAATAAGATGGAGTACAATTAATCACTTAGCTAATTTAAGATGTAAAAGTTCAAGCTCAAATATTTTTACAAAGGATAAGAGAGAAATATAAGTGTCAAGAGAAGGTTTTTTAATCTTTAAATCTCAAAATCACTTTGGGTAGCTTCTCTCATCATTTATGACCGTTTGAACCTCTTTAAATACTTGGAGGACAGTTTTTAACTGTTAGAAACAGTTTTGAAGCAGAAATAGCTATTAATTTATCTTTTAACAACTCTTTGTTGGCAGTACTTCATTAACTAATTAAAGTTGAGCTTTAATCGATTAACGCTTTTTTATCTTGCAGATTACTTCATTGTGTTAACCAGTTAAAGGTGACTTTAAGCGATTAAAAACATTCTATTTTCATACTCTTCTAACTAGCATTTTTCAATTGTATTCTTTTAATTGGTTAGTCCTTCCTTCAACTGATTGAGACTTCTCTACCTTCAACTTTAACATGTTGAATAAGCGTAACTGATTAAAATATTTTCAAATTTGAATTTCTTCATTTTGTGCCCTTCAACAATAAACTTCATTTTGATTTTGAATTTTGGCACTATTTAGGTACTTCAAATTTGATCTTTAATTGATTAACCCCTTTGCTTAACTGATTAAGAACCTTTTGTTTTGCTTCTAACACCCTTTTAACTTATTAAACCTTATGTTAACCAATTAAGACCTTTCTGCCTATCTTTAGTATAACATCTAGAATTGCTTTAACTGATTAAGGATCTTTGTTAATTAGTTAAGACTAATTTGTTTTCACTAAAACTTTTTCTTTTTAACTTGTTTAACCAATTAGCCCATCTCACAATTGAACAGGTATCTTGACTTGTTTTCAAATATCAAATATATTAATGAATTTAAACTTTCTCTTGCACATTTAAATAATATGATTAGACATCAATGAATGAGGAATGTTTTATTCTCATAAAAAATATATGGAGTCAACATGAATAACAAACAAAGTCTGGGGATTCTGTTCATTATCAAGTGAAAATATTGATTCAAGATCATTGTCATGAAATAGATTGAAACCTGAAGTGCTTGCAATTTGCTGCATCATCTTGATGGATTTCTTGTTTGATTTGGGACATTGTTTTGCATAATGACTTGAGTTTCCACAGATATAGCATTTTGATGACTTTTTGCTTGATTGTATTTTCTTTTTTCCATACTTGAATCTTCTAAAATTCTTTTTTCTTGGGAATTTCTTAATTCTCATGGGCTTGTTCAAGTAAGATGAACAGTTGTGTCTAATGAAAGTTCTTCTGAAATGAACTTTCTTTTTGGATTTGTAAAGGCAAAAAGAGGGTACCGATGAGCATTTATAGTGCCAATGGTAAAGCACATAGACCTTTAAGCTTCATGGAATTTTAAACTATATCGGCAATATACCTGTGCTCATTATAGATCCTATGAAGGGGTTTTTGCATGATTTTGTATATATCATTGTGTGGGAGGCTATTCAAATCAAGCCCTCTTGCAATTAGACGTAACTGTGTTTGATGGTGTAGCTTTTGTGGGACTGAATTTAAGAAGGCTTGTTTCAGGTTGACATCATCTAGTCGACCTAGCTAGTAGAAATATCTATGATTTTGTCAATCTTGTGGCCTTGATGATTGCAAAATAGTGCTGCAAATTCATTCATAGTTGTGTAAAAGAAAGGTAGTTGTAGAACATTTGTTGTCGATATTCATCGAGATTATCCCAACATTCAACTCTTCTCGTTTGTCTTTGTTTATGTTTTTTTTTTAGAAGGAAGAACAAAAAGGGAATGACTTAACCATTCATTCCTTCAAAAAAAAAAAACCAAATGGAGGGAGAAATTTTTAAAGGAATAAAAGGGGAATGGCTAAGCCATTCCCCTAACCGAACATGTGGAAAGAGTACAAGCAAAAGCAAACCTTCATTAACAGCGCTCACAGAAGAACAAAGAAAACAAGTATAAGCAAACCAATTAGCTGCAATTGCAAAGCGAAAAGCCCTAATTGAATCCTCCACTTCCATCATCGACATTCATATCAACATGCACTATTTCTACTAGTATAATACCATCGAAGGTGCCATGGTTAGCGACAAGCTTGAACCATCACCTACGAGATGAAGTTTGAGGTTGAAGGTGCAGGATGCGTTTGCAAGATGACCTGCCACTACAATACAAAGGCAACATTGTGCTCAAGGAAGAGGAAATCAAGGCTTGCAAAGATCATGCACTCAAGATGTACATGGTTGTGGAAGATTACCTCTTGGCCAACTGCAATATCTAAACTTAAATAGCCTTGTTTGTGGTTTGGAATTGCATTATAACTCAATAAAAAAATAAAATCATTTTCTTCTTCTATCTTTGGGTGAGATTGTGCTACATAGTGTTAATCTTGAGTTGATATGATAAGAAGCCATAGCAAGGATCAATATTATTTTCTTTTGAGAGTTCGCTTGTAAGGTTTGATACAAGTTTTTATACACAACAATATTAGTCTATCATTATTGTCATTATAAAAAACTAAAATAAATCCATCTAAACAAATTCTTTCATCAGTTATAAATCTTATAACAAGCTAATCATTATTCATTAAGTCGAGATCAGAGTGTTAATGAACAATTATGTTTGTTCATAGTTCCAAAAACTAACAGCAAACACTATAAAAATATTGACTTTTTCTAATGAAAAAATTTTCATTCTAAAAGTTAGACGGATTTTAGATGAAAATTTATTTTACTTGTACCGACGAATATTCGACGAAATTTTTCAACGAAAATTATTCCTTTGGAAATCCATTGGAAATAGTTTTGGTGCAAAAAAAATTAATCCCACCAAATTTTCTAACGAAATTTCTAATGGAAATCCATTGGAAAGTTTAAGGAGTCAAACTTTCCAATGGAATATTCAGTAGAAAAATTCTGCCGTTATTACTATTTTTTTAATTTTTTATTCTAAATATACTGATAATTATTTTAAAATTTATTAATCCATTATATTAAGAAAATTAAATATATACATAGTGAGTTTGGTGGCTTTAAATATTTAAATATGTTTTCCTTTGGTTATTATTTTTTATATATTTTGAAAACTTATAATAGGATCATAAATATTATATAACAATTCCAAATTTGGTAATGTTATTTACAAAATGTTTATAAAAGTAATATAATAAATATTTTAATTTCATAAAAGGAGATTATAAAATCTAATATATCATTAAACCAAAACTAAAAATACTTTAAGGTCTAATAGTATAGTTAATATAAATTAAGAAGACTACTATATATAGTCAACTTATTAATATATAATATATTTAAAATATATTAATTTATTATATGTACATAAATTAGAATCATAGTAATATAATATATTAACATTATATATATATACATATTAATATATTATAATGATTAGACCTATATATATAATAATGATAATTCATAATAGATAATATTATGTTAATACATATCACTGTATAATTATATATGTATTAGTTAATTATAATATACATATATCTAATTTATATGTAAGCATTAATATAACTTATACTAAATTTTATTTATATGATTACACTTAATAATTTTGCAAGAAAGTTATTATCTTAGTTTTTATAACATATATTATTTACAATTAGTTATTAATTATACAAATTTTGTAATTATACTTAACATTATAACATCATACTTTACATTGATTATATAATATACATATATATAATACTACTTTGAGTATGTCATCTTTTATGATTAGTTTCATATTATAATTTTAATAATTGAAATAATGGGTATTTATAAATATATAAATTTATATAAGTTATACAAAAAAATAATACTTGATGTACTAATATTAGTTAATATAAATTATTTAGAAGAATGATAGTAAACTAATTAATTAATAATATACTTAAAATATATTAATTATTTTGTTATATGTATATATACAAATTATAATCATAGTAATATAATATTAACTATATATATTTATAAACCTATATTAATATGAAATTACAAGTTATATATATTTTAAATGATATAACTTAATGTTAATATTAATATATGATAGTAAATATCCTTCGTATTAATATGTTATAATTATTTTAATTATATATAAAAATGTCTCGTAATTAACTTATAATATATATATTTAATTTATACATAAGTATTACTTAACTTATAATAAACTTCAAGTTATATAATTACAGCTAATAATTCATTTTATTAATTACCACCTTAATTTTTATAACATTTTACTTATAATTGGTTATTATTTATACAAACTTTGTAATATATAACAATTTATGTTACATATAATTTGTGTTATTTCATATATACACAATAAAGTAATATTGGTTTTGTTTACAACTTCATAATATTAAATATATTATATTA